TTAGTTTGATTAGTATGTGCCTTGGAGTGTTTCTCCTTGGGTTTATCCTGTATGGGACTGTTTGTGCCTCTTGGACTTGTTTGACTATTTCCTTTTCCATGTTGGGGAAATTTTCAACTATAATCTCTTCAAAAATTTTCTCATACCCTTTCTTTTTCTCTCCTTCTGCGACCCCAATAATTCAAATGTTGGTGCATTTGATATTGTCCCAGAGGTCTCTGAGACTATGCTCAGTTCTTTTCATTCTTTTTACTTTATTCTGCTCTTCAGAAGTGGTTTCCAACATTTTACCTTCCAGCTTATTGATTCATTCTTTTGCTTCAGATATTCTGCTATTGATTTCTTCTAGAGTATTTTTAATTTCAGTAATTGTGTTGTCTCTGTGTGTTTATTCATTAATTTTTCTAGGTCTTGGTTAATTAATTGATTCTTGCATTTTCTCCATTTTGTTTTCAAGGTTTTTGATCATCTTTACTATCATTATTCTGAATTCTTTTTCAGGTAGTTTGCCTATTTCCCCTTCATTTATTTGGACTTCTGTATTTCTAGTTTGTTCCTTCATTTGTGCAGTATTTCTCTGCCTTTTCATTATTTTATTAACTTATTGTGTTTGAGGTCTTCTTTTCCCAGGCTTCAAGGTTGAATTCTTTCTTCCTTTTTGTTTCTGCCCTCCTAAGGTTGGTCCAGTGGTCTGTGTAAGCTTCATATAGGGTGAGATTTGTGCTGAGTTTTTGTTTGCTTGTTTGTTTTTCCTCTGATGGGCAGGGCTGAGTGAGGTGGTAATCCTGTCTGCTGATGACTGGGTTTGTATTTTTGTTTTATTTGTTGTTTAGATGAGGTATCCTGCACAGGGTGCTACTGGTGGTTGGGTGATGCCAGGTCTTGTATTGGAGTTGTTTCCTTGGTGTGAGTTCTCACTATTTGATACTCCCTACAGTTAGTTCTCTGGGTCTAGGGTCTTGGAGTCAGTGCTCCCACTCCAAAGGTTCAAGGCTCGATCTCTGGTCTCTCAGTCACCTTCCTGGATGAACGCACCATGTCACTGCTGGACTGTTAACTTGTAAGACATGATATGGAACACACAAGCCACATCGACACCCTGGAAGCCGTTCTCTACATCAGAGAGACAGTGGATGTCTCCTGGTATAAACCGGATGCCTTCTGGAATGGTCTGAGCAGGGTGGCTGATGTCAAACAGAATCACAAGGACTCCCTTCTGGTCCAGAGCACAGCCAAGACTCCTCCCATTATGAGGATTGATTCCTTCGGAGATTTGTGGGAATCCACATGTGGCAGTCAAAGATAACTGGACAGTGGCAGAGGATGACGACGCCGGGACTGCTCAAGGTGGGGCGACCCAGGCCCCTCCTGTGAAGTAAGGTTTATTTATGATACACTGTTAGTTTCAGGTATATAGTGGTACAGTGATTCAGTATCACACATATACGTGTATATGTGTATTACATATATGTAAATTCTTTTTCAGATTTCTTTTCCATTATAGCTTGCTATAAGATATCAAATACAGTTCCCTGTGCTATATAGTAACTCTCTGTTAATTTATAAATTGTAGTGTATATCTGTTAATCTCATACTCCTACTTTATCCCTCCCCTCTTCCCCTTTGGTAATCATAATTTTGTTTTCTATGTCTATGAGTCTATTTCTCTTTTTTAAATAAGCTCATTTGTATTATTATTTAGATTCCACATAAAAGTGATATTATATTTGATAACAGAAATATCTTTTTATATTTATGGTTATCATCTTTGTCTGTTTTGATGATGATTAAAACTTAAGTGCTATAAAGAAGGCTCAAAGTGAAAGGGAAAGTCGCTCAGTTCTGTCCGACTTTTTGTGACTAGGCCAGAATATTGGAGTGGGTAGCCTTTCCCTTTTCCAGGTGATCTTCCTAACCCAGGGATCAAACCCAGGTCTCTTGTATTGCCAGCTGATTCTTTACCAGCTGAGCCACAAGGGAAGCCCAAGAATATTGGAGTGGGTAGCCTATCCCTTCTCCAGCAGATCTTCCCAACACAGGAATTGAACCAGGGTCTCCTGCATTGCAGGTAGTAAGGAAGGCTGAGCACTGAAGAACTGATGCTCTCAAATCGTGGTACTGGAGAAGACTCTTCAGAGTCCCTTGGATGGCAAGGAGATCAAAACATTCAATCCTAAAGGAAATCAACCCTGAATATTCATTGGAAGGACTGGTGCGAAGGACTGGCCACCTGATGCAAAGAACTAACTCTTTGGAAAAGACCCTGATGCTGGAAAAGATTGAGCACAGGAGGAGAAGGGGACAACAGAGGATGAGATGGTTGAATGGCATCACTGACTCAATGGACATGAGTCTGAGCAATCTCTGGGAGATAGGACAGGGAAGTGTGGCTTGCTGCAGTCCATGGGGTCGCAGAGAGTCAGACATGACTTAGCAATTAAACAACAAGAACAACAAAACCTAAGTGCAGGAAACACAGTTTGAGCTGGTTAAAATACAGCTTATTAGGAAATATGAGAAATGTGATATGCCTTTAATGTAGTACAGTTTATATCATTTGTCATCCTTTGATAAAACATGACTGCTCTCGGCTCTCAGTAGGCTCAGCTTGTTCAATCGCTTAAAATTACCATTTGCTCTGTCACCTAAATTTCCACTGTTGGCCAGCATAAGTTACTTCAGTTGGGTTAATCTCCTTATAGCTCCATACACTACTGAAAGCATTCCTGCTCTTTGGTTAAAAAAAAAAAAACTGTTCTGAAACCAACAAAGTGTTCCCTTATCCCAGCTGTAGCAACCACATATGTTTCAGAATCGGAATAGTGGAAAGTAGTTTTAGCGATAAAACTGGGGTCCATGGGGTGCCTACTAGCTGATTTCATATGAGTAGCGGGTGGAAGCCAGGCAGTGATTATTAATTACCTAGTTTAGAACAGAGCAGTAAAATTATATTTGATTTTGACCTAATAAAATTATAAATTCATATAGAAAGTTCAAAGTGAACTCTTAATTTTACTAAGTCCTTTTGTGGTTTTCATGTAAACAATTTAAATTAGTTTCTACCTCTAAATTATCATCTTTAATATTTATACACATGTAAAAAATTGCCATACCTATCTATTTATTTGAACTATATTTTCAGTGAAAGTACTAAAACTATCATTTTTAAAAACACAATTATAATTTGTCAAGTATTTATATCACTCAATAATAATCACAATGTGTTACTTCACCATTTCCTTTTTTGGCTATAGAAGAAACTAATGGTTTTTTCCTAATTAACCAAATAAAAATGGGCAGGGACCAACATTAGGACTTTTCTTCACTTTCATAAGCAAAATACAGATCTCATGTGTATCTGCATATGTGTTCAATTTGTAAGAAAATGTAACCATTATTTTAAATCACAGGCAGCTTTAGAATTTCAGATGCTTTCAGAGAAATGCAGAAGTATTTATTACCTTAATACTATAACTAAAGTTTCCAAAAAAACTATCAAGAATTTCAGTGAACAAAATTAATATCACATTAGTAAAAACTTAATATAAGAATTGTCAAAAACATAAAATATTAAAAACAACTTTACCTCAAACTTCAAATGTGATAACTTCTTAAGTCAACATTGTTTAACTTTTAGAAAAACCAAAGCAAAAAGACTGAAAACCCATAGTTTATCATAAACTTCAGCTATAGGTCTTTGTCATATTATCAAATTTACACAGCCCTCAACCAATCCAGGTACAGGTATAACTTCTAGTTCATTATATAAATAGAAATACAAATTATTTACAAGGTCACTTTAGCTTTATTATAATCTGATTTTTAGACAGGTTAAAACATATCATGCCTGCATCCCCATTTTTGCACCTTAGGATGATTATACAATTATCACAGGAACAAAGTCACATTTAGAGAAATAAAACTCACAGAAAATCCTTTAAGTTATCAGTAAATATTTTCCAATTAGTAACATCAAGTAAAGAGATTCCCAAACTGCAAAGTAATTTTGCAGTTTTATTTATCATATATTATTATATTAAATTTTAAAACTTAAAGGTGGGAAATTTTATCTTAAATGTTTTAAATATAAAATTCCCCACCTTAAAGTTTTAAAATTTAATATAGCTAGATCAATATGAAACAAAAAATAAATGGCTAAAAGCAACCATGAAAAGTATGAAAACAGACCAGTGAGGGAGAACTTACCAGACATCACAACTCACTAGAAGGCCACTGTATTCAAAACAAAATGGTGCTGGCACAGAAGCAGACAGACAGGGATCAGAATGAAGAGGCCAGAGATACAAAGGTATGTGGCATCTTTATATGTGACAAAGGTAACATTTCCATCCCATGAAAAATAAAGTTTCTTATAGTAACGATATTGGGGAGAAAAAAGAAAGATAGCATCCTACTTCATATCATGTATAAAATGTAAAACTGGAGTAAGATTTGAATGTTTTTAAAAATAGGGAAGAATATTTATAAGGATGTCTGTATGACCATGGGATGGACAATGCCATCCTGAGTAAAACAGATAACTCAGAAGCAATAAAGAAAATGATATGTTGGATTAAATAATAACTAATAATTTTCTTTTAGTAAAAGACATCATACACATAGGCAAGAATCAAAAAGCTATATTTGCACACATATAACACTGGTATAACACTGCATTAACATTTCTAAAACAATACATAGCTCCCAGAAATTGTGACAGAAAAACACTAGAAAAATGGGTAGTGGAAATGAATAGGAAATGAAGAAAAGAGAAATTCAAATGGATAATAAACATATGAAAATATATTCTACATCAGTGACTGTCAGTGAAGAAATGTAAATTAATACTCAGAGGTTTAAGACTGGCAAGAATGAAAAGAAACAGTGGCATCCAATGCTGGTGAAATGTAGAAAATGGGCATTCTTATGTGCAAATGTGATTTGCTATTTCTTTGGGGAAAGAATCTAGAAATATCTATTAAAATTAAAAATACACATACCGTTTGACCAAGCAATTCCACTTCTGAGAATCTATCCTATAGGGGAAAAAAAAGGACCAGTATGTAAGGATACAGACACAATGATATTTATTGCAGCATTGTTTGTTGTGGGGTGCAGGAAGACAGGGGAGTGGAAATAACATTAATGTCCATTAGTGAGGAAATGGTTAATGAAATGTGGAATATCCATAATATAGAATATTATATATTATTCAAAACAATGGGATAAAGCTGTAGAGTGTGACTTGGTAAGGTGAGAAAAACAAATTGAAAAGCTATAATTCCACTATGACAGTAGCAACAAACACAACAAAACAACGGCCATGCAGGCACCCCCATGTACAGGGAACACGGACGGAGGAACACAGACCAGACGGGCAAGGGCCACCCCGGGTTAGGAGTGGAAACAAGGACTGAGAGGAATGGGGATTATTTCCTTCCTCCTAGTGTATCTCTCTGCTGCTTCACTGGTTACTATGAGCCGTATGTTTGCTCTAGAGCTTTCAAAAATATATTTAAGAAAAAATATTAACTTTTTAGCGGTGGTAGAGCAGAAGTATTTCCAGACATTCACCTGCAGTAAAATAGCAGCAATTCAACAAATATTCCCTTCTCTGCTTATGCCAGTCACAGCAGTGTTCATTTCTTATTGCTTGCCCAATATCCATTCCAGCTCTCTCCCATAAGTGTATCTGCCACGTGATTTGGATGGAGTTGACTCCACTCTACTTGACAGGACTCCTGAGTGGTCTTAGCCAGTTTGGCCTGCCAAAAATACAGTTTGGAGCCACTAATACAATTTTAAATTTTCTAGTAGTCACATTAAAAACAAATGTAAAAGAAACAAGTGGAGGCCATTTTAATAATGGTTTTGTATTCTAACCCAACATACCCCAAAATATTAACCTTTCACCACACAATTAGCACACAAATTATTAAATATTTCACTTTTTTTTTTTCACGTCTCAATTTGGACTAGTTACATTTCAAGAGCTCAACAGCCACCTGTGGCCAGTGGTTACCATACGGAACAGTCTAAGTTAATGAGGGTAATGCTATAAATATTGTCATATTCAAGGATGGATACATAATTTAAGATGGCCCAATCAAAGAGAAACCCATAATGGCAGGAGAAGAAAAATCCACTCCTGGTGAGGACAGATAAGAAAAAACAAACCGTGAAAACTGTTGGCAGTCATCTACGAGCTAGGAAGGAGGCATGCCCTGGGATGAAGGAGAAACTGGGTCCCTGGGTCAACACTGAAACTCTTGGTTAACTCTTGCCGGAAGCCAGGAATTTTTAGTTACATTAGCTGGGAAATTTCCTTTATTTTTTTCAGCCATTTTCAGTTAGGTGTTCTCCTATTACTTGCAATCAAAAATATCCCAATTGATAAACTCATCTGTGGACAATGCCATGTCTAAACAAATACTTTCTTCTTAAGTCAATTAACTCAAATGTTCAACATTTCTTCACTTGTAGTTAAGGCATGCTTTGTTAAACTATCCTTATTTGATAACACTTTCAGACATCTTCCAAAAATACTCACAAAAAAGATTTCCAGAGACTAATTTCTGAGCAAGCATGGTCACCACACGAGAGTATTTCTCCTCAAGACAATATAGACAGTAGGCATCAGAGCAATCAATCCCTTCATTCTCACTTCACCCTCTTTTCTGGCCCTTCCTCTCTAGACCAGTGGTCCCCACCTTTAGCACTAGGAACATGCTGGGTTGACAAGTCTTTGTTGAGGTGGGTGTTTTCCCATACACTGCAGAATGTTTAGCAACAACTCTGTCCTCTCTATAGCCACTAAAGGAGAGGAGAAATTCACCTCCCAGTAATTGTGACAATCAAAAATCTCTCCAGACACTGTCACATGTCCCCAAGGGGACAATATCACCTCTGGTTGAGAACCACTGTTCTAGACCAATAGTCCTAATGTACAGCTGACCTGCATTGTTCTACGACAAACGCCTCCCCTCTCTAAGCGTTTCCTGGATCACACTCTTTCCAGGCCTTGTGGCCCTCTCCCAGACCAGACCTGGACATGTGAACGCTGTCTGGTCATGCTCTCCCTCCCCCATTCCCTGCCTACGCTGAGCCTGAGCTCTCCGCTACAGCTCTTCGTTCCAGAAGAAAGGCACCTAGTCCTCTCTGACCTCAGCTTGAAATCATTACCTGAGCTGCTCTCTGAACCACCCACCCAACCATTTCTCTTGAGCTTCTCTGAGGGGATGTTTGCTTATCTGTGGTCACTTATTCCACAACTCAGCCTCCCACAGTTGGGTTACCCATCTCCTCCATCAGTATATCATGGGTGACAGTTCGATCACAGTCTCTCCACATTGCATCGACTAACACACTGCTCTCCCTAATCTATCCTTAAGACTTATAACGACTGGAAATTTTTTCATAGCTTCTAAATTGCTCTAAAGATTTAATGTATTTCAATAAAAATCTCACCTGGCTTCTGGGGGCAGAAAATGATAAGCTGATTCCAAAACTAAAGAATTTAGAATGGTCCAAACAATTTTGAAAATAAAAAACATAGCTGGATGACTAACGCTATCTGATATCTGAACTTACTATACAGCTACAACAATCCAATCAGTGCAGACACTGATATAAGGCAAACAAGACATGAAACAGAATAGAAAGTCTGTAGATAGACACCCATATATGGAAAACCAATTTTCAACCAAACTGCAAAGAAATTCAGTGGAGAGGGGACAGAGAATGGTCTGTTTAACAAATGGTGCTGGAACAGTTAGATACCTGTATGCAAGAACTTAAAACTTCAATCCATACTTCACCCACACACAAAAATTATCTCAAAATGGATCATAGACATAAACATCTAAAATTTTAAATCTAAAATTATAAATTTTATGGAAAAAGAGGAGAAAACTTTTAAACAGGCAAAGATGGCTTAGATGCAACACCAAAACCAATAACCACTTAAAGAACAAACTGATAAATTTGACTTCATGAAAACTAAAAAATTTTGCTCTTTAATAGATGCTGTAAAGCAACTGAAACCAGGAGAAAATCTACCAATCATGTATAGCAGCTTTATTTATAGTGGCCCAAAACTATACGTGACCCAAATGTCTATCAGCAAGTGGATGGATAATCAAACTATGCTGTACCCACCAACAGGATATTACTTAGAAATAAAAAGCAATGGACTATTAACGTACACTGCAAAAGAACTGAATCACAAAATAATTACATGGAGTGAAAGAAACCAGACAAAAAAAGAGTAAAAACAGTTTTGTTCCATTTATTTTAAAGTTTAGGAAATGCATATGAATCTTTAGGAATGGAAAATATTAGTAACCGTCTGATTAGGCATGTTGGGGGAGGGGGAGGGAGCAATTACAAACCTGTAAGAGGAAACTGCTAGAGGAGATGGATATTTCATTACCTTGACTGTGGAGCTGGTTTCACAGGAGTGTCTGTATATATGTGTGCATGTCAATTTATGAGATTGTGTACTTTAAGTATAATTTATGATATGTCAATTATGGGTCAATGAAGCTTTGTTTTTAAGGGGAGGGGGAAGCACTGTTAGCTGTTAGGGAAATATTACCCCACAATTATGGGTCAATGAAGCTTTTTTTTTTTTTTACGGGGAGGGGGAAGCATGCTACATACTGTGAGCATGTAGGGTTATGCTGCTCTTGTTGTTGCTTAGTCACTAAGTCATGTCTGACTCTCTTGTAACCTCGTGGACTGTAGTCCGCTGGGCTCATTCTGTCCATGGGAATTCCCAGGCAAGTATACTGGAGTGGGTTGCCATTTCCTTCTCCAGGGGATCATTCTGATTCAGGGATCAAACCCATGTCTCTTCCTTGGCAACGGATTCTTCACCACTGAGCCACCAGGGAAGCCCAAATTGCTTCATGCTACATGGGATTTCATGACAGGAAGTGGTTCTGTCTCATTGTGTTGTTTTAAATTCTGCTGTGGTTTAATACAATTATAATTTACAATTCCTGGTACTTAACATAAAACAGCCGAGGTGATGTTAAACAGTAAATAAAAGGTCCATGGATGAAAAGAAACTGCACAGAGACTTGAGGAGTAACAATCTAAACTATGTTTGCTTTAATTCCCCTTTTAAGTATTTTCCTAGATCTCCACCATCATCACCACCGCCTGCTACGGTCTTAAGGATGTGGTCTAAAAAACATCTTCCAGCTAAAAAAAAAAAAAAAAAAAAAAGTGGGATAGAGCTAAGTGACTTGAATTCTCAAAGATAAAAATTAAGTAACATGCTTTTTGATGACAGTATTTTTCCCTGTGATTCTACCAGAATCAACTTCATTTACATACAAACTGGTAATACCTTAGAATCTCACTAAAAAAACCACCAATGTTCTCTTAAGACATAAAACCATATATTGATCTATTAATTTCATTTCAGTATATGATGTCAAGTGTATTTTCAAAATATGCTCCAAAAAAAAAAAAAATACTCCAGGGCTTCCAAAGGCTTCTTTAATCCACTAGGACTGGTTTTAGCATTTAATTTATTCTAGACCTAAAAACTTTCTGCTTATTCTCTCAGATAATCGATTCTTGATTTGTTAAGATACCAAACACTATGCTTTACAACCTGAAATATCAAACCCCTCGTGAACTCACTCATGTGCCCTGCAGAGAGCAAATCCTCTCAGCAAGAGGCCAAGGGGAGCCCAGAGAGCAGACCATGCCCTCCCCTAGAGCTGATGTCAGCCCAAGGGGATGGTCCACACACTCTGCAGTGAACAACATCTGTCCCACAGCAGTGACACAAGGATGCAGACGGTGCCATGAAAACGCTCTCCTCAGTTTCTGAAAAATACCGATAAATGCAAAAGACCTCTTCCTGAGTAAAAGCACATACACCAGCACCAATAACAGTAGAGTCGGCATTGGAAAATCAGGGTTTAGTAAGAGCTAAGCAATCGGGGCTAATGTCACCCCAAGGTTAGTCTCACTGATCTGTAGGACACAGCAGAAATTAAAAATCATTTCTTCCCACACA